TTTTTAACCCCTACTACGACTTATAGTCGCTGCAACGGGCCCATAAACCGACCCAAACATATAAGATCACTGAAGGCAGTGGGCGCAATGGCTGGGGGCTAGTGGTCACTGCCAACGTCATTGGTGCGAGAAGGAGTTTGGGCCCACCCCACTCAGCCCTTCCACCAATGACGCCGGCAGTACCCCCGCCTCCCCGCCCCCCCCCCCCCCGCCTCCAGCCATCGTGCCTACTGCCTTCAAGAAACAAGGGCAGTGCAATGATGTAACCCAAGACACTGCAAAGTTTTCTCAGAAATTGTTCTACCCTCTAGCCTGTCGGAATTCTTATGTAAATAGTGCATTCGTGGAAGATCCTAATGACTCATTCAGGGTATCTCCGGTTCTGCTTTGCTTCTGGACTACTAAGATTTGGTGGGTAAGAACGTGTGACATTTGGAACAACCACCAAACCTGTAGCACTTCACGCCACTATTTGCCTAAAATGAGAATGGCAATGCCGATATGCAAATAAAAACGAACTGATCAGCTGTCTAGCAAACGTATTATACTTTGCTTATAACCATTGTGATTCTAAAAAAATTCCTCTGCATAGCTCCAAGAGGGAGTAAAACTCCTCTTAATCGTCGTTGTGCCAGCCGTCTAATGGCGCCATGCACCGCGTTTGAAGCAATCTGTCCTACAACCGGGCTTCGTGCATGCTTTTAATGTCAATTTTCGCCTTTTATCAACAGAAGAATAAACATTGAATTAGATCTCTTGATACTTACACCTATATACACTTCACACATCACGGGTATGCTGGATTGGCGTCGAGCCGCGTGCTTTCTCATGGACGCTGCCGCGGTGGCCTGCGGCTCTTGGTAAGATATTGCCGGTTAGGCATAATTGCGGAAATGTCTGCCTGAGATCGGGTAGGCGTGCCCGCATTCCAACCTAACCTGGAGGTGTATACGCTCTGTGCAGATATTCTTCACTTGAACAAATTTGTTGTCGTGTCTCTTTCCAACACAGAACAAGATGACAGTTCGTGCCACAGCGCCGCTGTCGCAGAATGGAATATTCCACGGTAACCAATCCCGTAGCAAATGCCACGCCTAACTCCTGAGTCAGGGATAAAGAGTGTATGCAGTTCCCTCCTCCATTTCTGGAATATGGGTGTATTGTTGGTCTCCTCGTAAACATGCGAAATGTCGACTGTATAGCCATGCGAAAGCGTGTGTCGAGATGGATCAGCTGTTGTCGAATGTGTAGCCCATATCACGGCACCTATGGAGGGCGTGCCCATGGACATAGTTGTAACCGTGACAGCGACAGACTGTTCATGATTAGGGGAGAAACATGAAAAACGGAAAGCGTACATGGTGACTGTGACTGTGACGTGACTCTCCTTTTCTCCTGAACCTGCAGTTGTTGCCAGGTCATTTACGCAATTGCAGCTGCACTCGCAAGTAAAGCGGTTGACACATGACAATTGGGTGCCACTACATGGAATCGGATAGCGTCGGAAAAAACTTTCGCCTACTTGGAATGGAAGGACGTTGAGTACCTAAAGAAGACGGAATATCTGAGTGTGTCACCTGAGGTGAACCCCCTCGATTACCGGCTCCGAGCGGAGCTCAACAGGGTGGTCTGCAGTGGTGGAGAATCAACGACTTCGCTGAACTCAGGCACCGAAACACGGGGACGTGTCAATGGCGCTCGTTCAGAAGGCTGTGGTGGAGTATCATGATAGTGTACAATGTGATGTTGAACACGGTGGTGGAAATGTCCAATTATAAGCTGTTTGGCTTCTAACTACTTCTACTTCAAAACAGCTTCAAAAACTCTTAAAGCATTCGGCCTTGCGGTTCCATGCCGTATCTAATGATGATGGCCTGAAATAGAGCTCACCAAGATTAAACGTCGTTGAGTGCTGGTAAGGCTACGACATATAGCGTTAAGCTGAGGGGTAAGCGGCCGGGTGGCTAAGGAAAACGACTCACCCGGAAGCGTAAGGTGCGGGTTTCGGACTTCGCCTGGGGCCCACGCACTTTTTGCCACAACTCAGTATTTCTGATGTGATGTCAATTTAGATATTGATAATTGAAGAATGTTGATAAACGTGTTAGTATTAAAAGTCGTAGAAGAAGCCTGTTTTTTGTTTGTTTCCTCGCTGTATGTATGAGTCGTTCTCCAGTTCTCCTGCCTGAAGAATTGGGAACACAAAAAGTTGCCCACATCGTGTACTTGTGCCGTGCTATGTTGGACTCATCGGAAAACCCGGAAAATTGCTTCATCGATCGTAGCTACCTCAATAGATGAGAAGGTGTGATTCCAAGAATAGCGATGGGACGTGGCAGGCCGCAGTTTCACTAAAATATTTACAGAACTGCGAACAATGGGGCCAACCAAAAACGCGCAGCACTTCTTCTGGCTATGTTTATTGCTTCACATAACCACGTGCACCTATGGTACTGTCACACTCTACTTTCACACATAATCTCCCACCAAAGCTACACCTGTATTACATAAATAGTTTATTTGTATCAAATTAGAAACTTAATCACAAGTGGACGAGATGTGAGACATGCATAGATATGAGATAACAAGAACAAAAAGAAAACAAACTAAAAACAATGTTCAAACTAAAAGAATACCCGCAGATGACAACAAAATATAAGTAATTCTTCGTACGATAAGAGGTGTTGACAAAGAAAACAGATAACAAATCGAAGTTTTCCATCTTAGTGTCTCCTTTGGGCTACTTCGCATTTTGCTAGCACACAAGTCGCCTTCAACCGGCGTGACCTACACTTCGTGTGTAGCGCCTAACAATTGAATCACAATCAGTAAGATCATCAGAGCTTAAAAAAGAAACAATGCAAAATCTGTCAGTGGAAAGGAAAGAGACGTCTGGTTGCAAGATGAAACTGGAATTATGCGTCGTCCGTTCCAGACTTCGTCATGAGCGAGTTCCGACGTGTTACGCCGTTGTGTAGACCTCTATTGTTATAACGGTGAACGGGCCGAAGCACAGCAAAGTATTGACGAGCCGGCAGACTAGGTGCGGTTCGGAGCCGTTACGGAGGGAGAACAGGCCGAGTCGTTCTCCTACACCGTTATACAATCTTCCTTACCTCTTTTTTGGATCTTCAGCTTCTTCTCCCCCTACCACCTCACTCATACCATTCAAAATGGAAATAGTGCAAGCGGAACACACCATACCAACTGCGTGGGTTGAACGTTGAGCGTGTTGAGCGCAGTGTGAACCAGTGGGCGGGCATTGTCTTCCTCTTGAGCGAATAGCTTCCCTATTGGGCATTTTTGCGTCACGAAAGTAGTACATCCCTGACCACGCAAACCAGACCATATTGCCCAAGGACAGCCTCTGTATATGGAAGGAACGTGACTTTAAGCCTATATACCCCACTTCCTGTGCTTTCCCAATTTTCAATAAGTTGCGTGCTTAGCTAAGACTTGGACATCAGACAAGACTTCATGCGGCGCTACCCAGACCTGATAACCTTCACGATGGCTTACGCCGTTCCCAGGGGTTCGAGAATTTCGCACTTGGATGAGGCCAACCCTGCTTCCACCGATACACGCCACAATGAAAAGCCATGAAAGTATCTTTACTTCCCGTTCTATTAGGTTGTTGTATTAAGTTCTCTATAGCACGTGTTTGATCCTCCTATTTCGTTCGCATGGATGTTGGTATTACGTCATCACGTGTGCGTGACGTGTACATTATACTCTTTCATTACACTAGCTATCACTCACCGAGCTTGCATTTGCAGTACACAATGTCGCACAATTTGCACTGTGACAAAACGTACCTGCGCCACTGTTTGGTTTTGCTCCACGATTTCGGCTGGAATGCAAAGGAAGCCCATACCAAGCTGGTGGATACATACGGTGAGGACGTCATCTCTTACATGACATGCAAGAATTGGTTCGCCAAATTCAAGAAAGGAGACTTTTCTCTCGAAGATGCTCCGAGGTCGGGTCGGCCGATGGAGTTGGATTTGGAAGTACTACGTTCCACCGTGGAGGAGGACCCGTACCTCACCACCAGAGAAATGGCGACCATGCTTAGCTATGATCATTCGACGGTTGCACGTGGACTAGAAAAGCTCGGCAAGGTAGCAAAGCTTGGTCGATGGGTCCCACATGAACTGTCCGCTTATGACCTCTCGAGGAGGGTGACCACCTGCACTTCTCTCCTCACTTTCCAAAAGAGGCTTCACTTTCTCAACTCGATGATCACTGGAGATGAGAAGTGGGTCCTCTACGATAACCCTGTGAGGAAGCGGCAGTGGGTCGACAAAGGAGAACAGCCAGAAGCCACCCCAAAAGGCCGACTTCACCAAAAGGTCTCCTGTCCTGTTGGTGTCGGTCAGAAGAGCTCTATGGCAAGTAGACTGGAGACGCTGCTGGAGAAGGCGCGGACAGACGATTTTGACGTATCCACATACGTGACCAGAATGCGGGAATGAAAGATCACGTCGACCGTACTCGTGGAAGGAATGGAATCTACTTCCACCATGACAACGGCCCGACCTCACACTGCAAAGGCGACCCAGGCCGAGCTGGAGAAGTACGGATGGCTGATGGTCGCCCACCCTCCCTACAGCCCTGACCTCGCTCCTTCTGACTACTGGCTGTTCCAGCCACCTCTGACACGCGCTCAATCCCTCGACGGCAAACGGTAAAAAAAGTTTCGAAACCCAAAGGGATCAGGTCAGAAGCGGCGTCGGACGACTTCTTCAAGTACCATTTCCTTCCGCCTCAATTTCTGGGTAAGGATGGAATCGACAAGCTGCCTGAGCGCTGGTCGTCGAATTAAAGCCACCACCAACGGGAGTGAGATCGGTGCATGGTGCATACTCTAATTCTGCCAGGCTGGTTCGTTTTGAGATATTTTTACAAAAAGTCGTGGTATAAGGAACTTATGCGACAACCTAACACAACGGACCTAACCCTCTTTCCCGGTCTTTCTGGCATATCATTGTTTGCCATGTCTATATCTGAACTTGTGTCATGTCACTGCCTCTAGGACTGCTCGACGACGAGTCGCTACTCGAGTCATCTTCTGCTGGTCCATGCATTGACTGCTCCATAATGGGGATCAACTCAGGTCGTTCTTGGTTAAGCCTAAAGTCATGAAAATGTGAGCCAATGGGAATTAGACGAATTCAACAAATGAAGTCTCACCTCTTAAACCAGTGTTTACTGAGTTTCGGTCTGCCCTTTACTGTTTTTGGCCAGACTTGCGGTAAATTCGCTATGGAACAGAAATTCTGGGTAATTGCAATGGTGTTATCCTCGTTAATCACGGACGCTCGCCACCAACTGAAAGACCACGGCAATTGTAGTCATATCCTGCAAACGGGTAAGGTCGTGGTGACGAGGGTTTGAATTTGGATCACACGCCCGACTTTCTCTCTCGCCAGTTGCTGAAGACTCATGGATGCAATCATTGATAGAAGGGCCGTCTCGGGAGCGCATCAATCCACCCCTGTCACATCCTATCGTTTGGAAGGGATTGAACCCACATTAATCTCACATAATCTAGGAATTACTGACGCCTTCATACTTTGTGAATGCGGAGAATTTGCGACTAGGTTAAATAGATAATCCTTGACAGTGCGCAAAAAGAAATGCATCAGGGACCGCCTTGCCGTCGGGGGAAAGTTTCGCAAAATACGGCCAGCTACCCCTCAAAATTTTCCCTCTGGCACAACCCCCTCCCCCCCCCCCCTTCCCGTCTGCCATCCCACTATCATTTTCTCAACTTCTCCCAAAATCATAGCAATCCTCCATAGTTTCTTTTTCCAGAAAATCCACCAGCTTTCTTAAGTTCTTAAGTTAAGGGGAGGGGGAATATATAGCAGATCCCAATGTACGACGTGGCCTGGAAGGCGTACGTACCGATCTGAAGAAGAGAAGAGTTTTTAGGGAGAACGCCCGATTTAGACCGATCGACTCCCATCTCATCACTTGTCACTTATTTTTCTGAATCGGATTCTTCCTGCGACTGAATGATTTCCTTTTTCGTGCATTCGACGATTTTCCGCATTAGCGAAGTCATGGTGGCCCAAATGATGAAAATAATCCTTACCTGACGGCACAAACATCGTTTCGCCCGGACCTTGACGCGCCTCAATTACAGGATATTCTTTAGGCCACGTTGATGCACGAACACGATTGTAAACCGTCATGAACCAGGTTGTCGCCTCATCCGGATGTTTACCTTTCTCTGACTGGTACGGCTTAACTAGTGTTCGAGGCGCGTCCGGTGGGATAAGCACCCACCTATAAAAAAGATTTGCGAGGAACTTTTAGGATTAAGAACAGAATGACAAAAGGATGCAGTTCTACCTCTTATGTCCCTTGATCAAAGCGTTCCAAGCGCTAGTCCCGAGGGGATCAATGTGAATGGATGTACCAGATCGAACTGGGCCCATCACAAACCATCTACAAAACACTGCTAGACACATTTGTGGAAGATTACATGAAATTTCGTACCTATGGGGAGGTCGCTTCTTGTGATCAGCATAACTGAACAGGATCATCTTTGAAGAATGGCGGAATGACGAAATCTTCAAGAAGTTTCTTCGTTTTGTGACGCTAAAAAATTTCAGATCTCAGAAGGTCTTTGGTTTTACCCCCCCCCCCCTCCAATGCAAACTCACATCGCCGAATCCACTGTCAAATATGTATAGAGGGCTATCATCCACATTGTTCACCATGTAGTCTGCATAGTATTTCATTTTCAGTTTCACCGAATAACCGTCGTCATCCTCACCGCACTTGAACCGCTGGTTACGGTATTTTTTGGCAATCCTCTGGAAGGATTTTCTTACATAGAAACAATTTTCATAGAGCGTAGCATTTTCAGTTTCCGAAATGTAACAAAACCACCCAAGAAGCCAAACCAAACACCCTTCATTTCCTTGTATAAGCCGCACCTGCAGTTGATATCGTTGCAATCATTTGGGGAAGTGGTATCAGGAGAAGTGGAACGAGACCATCCCCCTTAGTGTTCTCTACCAACAGTGGTCACTCGAGGAAAAAAAACCAGCCACTGGGTAGAAAGCGCTGCAGGTTGGCCCGTTTTACCTGCCTACTGACACCGCCCTGACTGATTGCGAAGTCAGTAGGCAGGTAAGAAGGGCTAACCTGGAGCGTTTACTACCAAAGGTTGGTTAACCACCAAATCACCAGCCCAGCAAAGTAGGGATTCTACAAAAAAATCAGCAAGAAGGATTCACAAGAGGTTTTAGGAGCGGTACAATTGATGATGAATCATGAGTTTCCTCCATGCTCGCTCAGCCCCCAGCTGACATCATACTCCTTCAGCAATTCTTTACCTGAACTTCTAACCACCGCATATTTTTACATGCGTCGCGCCGTCGCGCATCTTAGCAGATCAAACGTTCACGACGTCGCGCGGAAATTTTCAGTCACAGAATCGAAAAAAAAACTTGGAACAAGCTAAACATCACCCTTTCTTAGGTCAAATACATATATATTCGAATTAAATTCAAAGGTTCATCACTGTTATTCCTGTCTGCAACAAAAGGTGAGATGGGTTTGGCGCCTTACCCGTTTTCCACCTGTTCTTGAAGCGGGTAAGCCCAACAGCTGGTGGGAAAACGACTGATATGAACGATATGATACGGTTTTGTCGCTTGCTCGCTTCAACAAACGGTGGAAAATAGGTTTGGCGCCATGCCAAACATATCCTGCTTGAATGCCTCTTTAGCGAGACAGTTCTCTTAACATTTTCCCCAATACTGCGGAGCTCAGGTGAAGAAATCGCGAAGAAATTTGAAGCAGCAATTGTAAATAAAGAATAATACTAATGCCTAAGGAAGCTGAAGTACTAGAAGAAAATGACGAGGTCGCACCCTGCTGACAATGACGGTTTACGAAGTATTCCATAAGTTTCGAGAAAAAAGTGACTAGTATTGAAACTTACCGAAACCGTCCATTTTTCATGAGCCTGCCATTTATCGGTAAGACCGGTCAGTATTACAGGAATGCGAGGGATTTCGTATTTCTCGCGAAACTCATTGAGCGACAACTTC